CTGAGGCTCTAACTAGCCTTTCTCATAATCTATACTGTCAGCAGGCCTCCTCTGCCTTGATACAACTCTCTCCTCTCCAACTCCCACCAGTAGTCACTCAGACTTTTATCAACTTGCAAACAATACAACTGAACACAGACTCACACTTTACTCACTCTCACACTTTCAGCCAAACAATACAATAGGCTAGGCCTAACCCCCTGCCACAACCAAAAACAAGTAAAAATACACCACAATAATTTTGCTCAGCTTCTAACTTCATTTACCGTTGTTTGTGGTTTACAGCGCTTTGACTCTTTGCTGTCTTTCGCAGAGGACCTGAGTTGAATTTGGGTGTGGGGATAATTTTTTGGAGTATCTCGGTCTTTCTGCTGGGATGTTGTATCCCTACCTTCCCAGCGCAGGTCGAAGCCTACCTCCTAAATGATCTAAATTGTTTTGATGGGGTTGCAAAATACTGACAGTTTTTAATGAAAAGATTAAACTCTACTTGAAATACAGGATTTTTCCTGATGCCATTCAGTGTTTAAGTTGTCAGTTTATAATTTCACAATGAAAGCGGACCTCTTTAGACTTTGTAAGTGGGTAGTTGGCAGGCGCTCTGGTGTGGTTTGCTCTTTCTCTCCAATCAAATATTTATTGTCCTTATCTCTCCTTTTTTTTGGTTAATGTTATTTTCTTGTAACACCTCTAATCTTCGGCACTGATATAACTGAATTGTGTTGCAAGTGCCGTAAAACCTTTTCTGAAACAAAAGGCTGTGTGTCTCCAGAGAGTGTGGAGCTGTTCAATTCAAACCTTATCGTTCTTATTTCAGTCAACAATTTCTGATTGTGAAATGATGCTATGAAGCTGAACTTTATGTTGACTTAAAAAAAATATCTTTCCTTTTCCTGACCAGGATGGCCTCACTGCCTTGGCCATTGCTGCCAAAGACGGTTATGCTGAGGTTGTGAACGACTTGCTGAGGAAAGGGGCTTACGTGAATCTAGTGGACCGAGTGAGTGCTGTGTTGTTCTTTTTTTAGGATGTGTCAGGGACGGTCTGTTTAAAACAATCAAAGTAAGTTCAGTATTTGGAGAATGGTTAGACTGCTGGATTCATGATCAAAAGGTTGTGTCCTTGGAAATGATACATTACAAGATTTTCCCCTAATCCTAGATGATGTGATTCAGGTTCCAGCATGGATTTTAAAAAAAACAAACTATGGTGATGTCATAACTTTGGGCTAGTTTAGATAGTCTTGGGTCATTTCTTTGACTTTATGCCCTAGACACCAAGACAAGCTGAGATTCTGTAGAGTAAAATCATCATCATCATTACCTTTCTCACCCTGCACCAGGGTATAGGCCACGGACAAACACCCTCCACTTTTCTCTATCCTGGGCTAGCTTCTTGATGTTATTCCATGTCTTCCCACTTTTCTGTAGATCGATTTCTGTGATTCCTCTAAAGTGAAATGGCCGTTATGAATTTTCTAATTAAGAATACGACTACTTAAAGCATTTCGTTTTTGTTTGACTAGCTGCATGTAAGCTCAATCAACAAGACTTTGTATACGATGCGAGAGACTTCAGTGTGCTGAGATGGTCAACATATTTTCTTTCAGAATGGAGATTCCATCTTGATCCATGCTGTCAAAGGTGGCTACATAGAAATTGTGAAGGCTTTGCTGAAGAAATATGTGGACGTGGATGTGCCGGGCCAGGTAAGCCAGTCTGTTTTTCACTTTTTTTTTTGTCCCACATGCTTTTTAATTTTGCAAGAGTATCTTCAAACTTTTTCCATGAGGTAACTACACCTTAACTCTCTCTTTCTCTCTCTCTCTGCTAGACTTATGCTACAATCCTACTGAAAAAATCTATAACAGATGGACAGAACACGGCCGCTTCAGTCAAAGTGTCGAAATAGTATATATATTTTAAATGTTCTTTCACTTGATTCAGTGATTCCAATGATGTAAGAAGCTCTGCCGTATGGTGAACAGTAATCTAGTTGTTTATAATCAATATGAATTCCTCACTTAAACTCTTGTAATTAGATTGAACACCAAATTTTCAGCTTGTCTATGAAGTTTTTTGTGGAAATCCTCCACCTTTGTGGCATTTGGATGGCACCTTTCCTCAGAACTACATGGTCATCTGTTTGGCTCTCTTTCTGGTGCAAACAATTGCAAGTGTAAATCTGACAATTGAGGGTCTGGTCTTGCCATGTGAGCTAAGTGAAGCTTTATGTTGAGTTTTTTAATAAATCTTTTTATGTGGGTGGTTGGTGGGTGCTCTGGTGCGGTTTGTTCCTTCTTTCCTATCAAACAACTATCGTCTTTATCTCTCCTCCTTTTTTAAATGTATGTTACTGTCTTGTTACAACTCTAATCTTCAGCACTAATATGACCTAATTGTGTTGCAAGTGCCGTAAAACGCTTACTAAAAACAAAAAAATCTTTATGATTTTCTTATGTGCAGCTGTAAGCTTATTCATGCAGAAGAGCCTGCTCTAATGGCCATGTGTCCAAGACAAGCATCTGTACAAACATCTGCTTCCCACTCCCCCCCTTGCTCTTTTCTGTATCATAATGACACAGTGCAAAATGTCTGCCTGTCTCAGACAACCACTTTTCTACTTGACAATGGGTGGCCTTCTAGGACAATTTTGACAGCACTGTGCTCCCCACCTGTCTTCTTTTTAATATAATATGTATGCTCTGTTGACATTGTAAGTCACTGACAGGAAGCAAAGTATAATAGATGCAAAAAATTGCAAGATCTGTTTTCCGTTGTTAATCCCAACAGAATCATTGATTTTATAAAGGCCGAAATTGGCCTTAATGGAAAATTATAATTGGTGTTAAAATTGTTAATGTTGTTTAAGAAGCTATTTTAGATTATGAATTTATTTACTTAAAATTTTTAGCATTTTAAAATTTTAGCATTTTAGTAGAGGTGTTGACCAGAATCAGGCTGTGCAGTGAACTGTTGCGAAGGGAACCACCTTTTTTTCGCACGCTCACATGACCCTATGCAGTTGCGAGCACTGTAAAACTCTTCCTAAAACAAAAAGCTAAGTATAAAATGTCCCTCTCTCTGCTTGTTTCTCTGTCAGGAGGGCAAGACTGCTATCTACTGTGCCGTGGAGAAAGGGTACACCGAGATTGTCAAACTTTTGCTCAACAGCAATCCTGACCTGGAGCTGAGCACCAAGGTAAAGTTGTGTTTTTTTTCTGGTGTTTCAATTTGTTTGTTTTTTGTTGTTGTTTGTTTTTTTGTTGTTGTTTGTTTTTAACTTGTTGTTCTTATAGGGAGAGGAGCAATGTCTGTGTGGGTGGTTGGAGGGCGTTATTGGTAGGTCCTACTTCTTTTCATTCCCACTGTTGTTTCTGTTTATCTGTCTTGCCTCTTCCCTCCTCCTTCTTTTCTTTGCATGTTACTCTCGAGTAACTCCTCTTATCTGTGGCACTTATATGACCTATTTGTGTTGCAAGTGTTATTTGCACACATGACAGCCCCCAACTCTAAAGATGCAATAAATTCCCTAAGTAGAAGAGAACAAGTCACGATCTTTCGCCTACGAACACAACACATACCACTAAATTCCTACCTTAATAGGATCCGCAAGGATACCCCACCCGACTGCCCGCTGTGCGACTACCAGGATGAAACAGTACCACACCACCTCTTTAACTGCCCAGCACTTTGTGACCTGCATAGCACCTACCTACTTGCCTCCCCAAACATCGGAAATACTCTATACAGCGACAAAGCACAGCTGATTAAAACCTGCAAATTCTTTGCCATATCGACAGACCGAAGGGCTAGAACCCAAATGGCCGCTGGATCGGAAAAGTAAAAAGTAAAGTAAAAGTGTTGCAAGTGTCATAAAACTCTTTACTAAAACTAAACGTTCTCATTCAATCAAGTACACATTGGGATTTAGCACAGCTTCTTGGGGATTTCTAATGCTCATTTTATCTCTCCATCACAGGATGAAGACACACCCTTGCTTCGAGCCGTGCGGATGCGCAATGAGGAGTGTGTGCGTTTGCTGATCGACAGAGGGGCAAAAGTCTCTGCCAGTGACAAGGTCAGTTGTTATGTTTCACTATTGTATGTCATTTTTGTTTTTTGTTTTTGTTTTTATTTTCTAATTTATTATTTTTTTAAAGTATTTTTTTTTTTGGGGGGGGGGGGGGAGGGGTATGATTTTCACAATTTTGAAAGAAATTTGTGAATTCAAATCTTTTTAAAAATGTGAAAAAGGATTGTACTACAGTGAACCATATGACACTAGGTACTTCAGATTGCAAATTCAAAATGTTTTTTTTGTTTTTGGTTGTTGTTGGTCGGTGGGTGCTCTGATGTGGTATGCCCTTTCTTTCCTGTCAAACACCTGGTGTCCTTTTCGCTCCTTCTTCTTGTCTTTGTATTTTATTCACTAGTAACACCTCTAATCTTCGGCACCTGTACGACTTCATTGTGTCTCAAGTGCCATAGAACTCTAATTAATCAAAGCATCTATCGTCTTTATCTCCTCTCCTTCTTTTTTGTGTTTGTTACTCCCTTGTAACACCTTTAATCTTCGGCACTTAGATGACTTTATTGTGCTGCAAGTGCTGTAAAACTCTTACGGAAAAAAACTTTCTAGATTAGAACCAAACTGAAATTTTTTTTTTTTCAATCAGAGAGGTGACACAGCCTTGCACATCGCCATCCGAGCGCGCGCCAAACGCATCACAGAGCTGTTGCTGTGTAACCCTCGGCACAGCCGTCTGTTGTACCGGCTCAACAAGGCCGGGGAGTCGCCCTACAGCATGGACACCTACTACCAGAGGGGCATCCTGCCGCAGATCTACGGACATGGTATGTCCCTGGGAAAGAAAAAATGAAATAAAATAATCCCATTTTTATTGATCCCCAAGTTGGTCTACAGTGGCCTAACATATTATATTATACATACATAAATAGGTACATGTTGATTTTTACAATTCAGAAAATAGGGTACATAAGTACATTAATACTCCCAATACATGCAAACTGAAACTTAAAGATATACTATTTATGTAGTTGCGAACGCTGCAGTGCCAGTTGTTTGTACAAGGTTTACGGGTAATCGTGTCTCGCTCAAGGACATGCCGTGGTGACCGTCCACCTATACGTCATGTCACTGACGTATCATCGTCATCATTGCCTTTCTCACCCTGCTCCAGGGTATAGGCCACGGACAAACACCTTCCCCCTTTCTCTATCCTGGGCTAGCCTCTTGATGTTTTTCCATGTCTTCCCACTTTTCTGTACATCGATTTAGGTGATTCTTCTCCAGGTTCCACGCGGTCTTCCCCGTTGATCTCTTACCCTGTGGGTTCCAATCCGAAACTTTCACTGACGTATGCTTGACATTTATTCTGAGTCTGAACTCACTGTCCACTCTGCCACTGGAGATCCCAGCTTGTTACTTCAAGTTTTGAGGTCTGATGCAATGCTGAACGCAAATGGGTGGTCGACGTGTGTTCAGATGTGGTTTACTCCTTCTTTCCTTTCAAACCTTCTGTTACTAATGCCTTTAGACTCTTACTTAAGCTAAAACTAATCTCTTTGTGTTGTAAATGATGTAAAACTCGTACTTTTCCTTCTTCTTTATCGCATCACACTTGAAATCCGGTATCTATCATATATTGGGCCGTCCTGCTCAGTTCATCTGTCGGCCCGTACAGCTTCTCTTGTAGTGTCAATGGGCTCGGCCTTGTTTCCTGTCTCAGGGCCCCGTGTGTCTTGCATTCTTGAAGGATGTGTTTCACAGTTTGGTCCACCTCTCCATGCTGGTATTTTGGAACTCGTACTAAAACTTAGAAGTGGGTGGTTGGCGGGTGCTCTGGTGTGGTTTGCTTCTTCTTTCCTATCAGACATCTATCGTCCTGATTTCTCCTCCTTTTTTGTGTTTGTTACTCTCTTGTAACACCTCTAATCTTCGTCACTTATATGACCTTATTGTGTTGCAAGTGCCGTAAAACTCCTACTAAAAGAAACAAAAGCTAACACACTGTAAAACTATGACCCTCACTTCACCTCAACCCCCCCCCTGTACAGGCAAGCTGAACGCGACAGACGCAGAAAACCTTCTGGGCTACGAGATCTACAGCTCCGCCCTGGCAGACATCCTGAGTGAGCCTGGCCTCATGACCCCCATCACCATGGGCCTGTACGCCAAGTGGGGCAGTGGGAAGTCCTTCCTCCTGGACAAGCTGCGAGGTATGTTAGTTCTGTTGTGAGTTGTGTCCTACAAGGGGAGTTCTTTCACTATCCTCATCAGCATAATCATCATCATAACCATCACCATCATCATCAGTGTCATTCTCAACCTCATCATCTTTGTTTTATTCTCATTGTTGTATAGTACAAGGGGAAGAATAAGTAGGTGTATGGAAACTTGGAGGTAAAAATATGTGAGGCAGCGTGGTGGAATCAGGCTCTCGTCAAAATTATCAAAGTGAAGAAACTTGCATTTTTCCACAGGTTTGTGAATTTTTATCAAATTTTTTTCTTTTTTGGCTCAACACCTTTCATGTCCATTAAAGAACTAGTTTCTGTGTGGATTTTCCTGAAAAACGTTGATTAAAATTACACAAAATGTAAATTTTCTGTTACCACCGACTCTTAAGCTGAGGAAATAACTAATCTTTGGTGGCCATTTTCTCAACTAGTTTTATCTCTGAAAACAGGTAACCCCACCTCCTTCATTCGCAAATATCTCGACTTGTATTCAAGATAAATGGATATTTTTTTCATCCAAATAAAGACAAGCGAACAAGCTATAAGATGATACCACTAACTCTACATGCCCAAAAATTTACGAGAGCCTGATTCCACCACGCTGCCTCACATATTTTATTGATATTATCCAAAAATGTTCAATATTTCCCCCCATTTGGTCTTAACACTCTGCCGCCTCATCTTGCCGATTGGCGATGTTCACCACCCAGTTTCTTTGGATTTTCAATGTTTACCACCCTGTTTCTTTGAATTTTCCCCAAAATATGATGGCAAAGTGGTAATTAGGAACACAGTAAGAAAAAAACAAAAAGAAAGCTATAGAAACAAAAGCGTTTACTTACCACATTATGTGCTATAGGCGTACTATATGTTATCATCATCATCATGAACAACAACATCATCATCATTATCTTTGTCTTCAAAATATGCATAAGTTTGAGTGCTGTTTTGATTTTCATCAGTTTTAGCTAAATCTCGTTTAGTTTAATTAATTGTTTTTAGAAACAATCATGTCTTCCGTTTTTGTTCAGGTTTCGGTTTTCGGTTTCGTAGCATGTGGCACTATTAATAAACTGCTGTCTCAAGCATTACCCCTCCACTCCGCTCAAATAAACTCAACCCAAACAAAACACTAACACAAGAGTTGACCCCATCTCAGTGGGTGTGGGTTTTCCTTCCAAGTGTGGCCACTGTTTCCTATGCATGTTTGTCATTCATACATTTATTGGTGGGTGGTTGGAGGGTGCTCTGCCTGCCCCCTTGTGTGGGTTGTTCCTCATTGTCTATCAAACGTCTATTGGAGGGCTCCCGTGGTCTAGAGGTTAGGTTACTGTGTCTGCCCCTCATTCAATAGGTCCCATGTTCGAAACCTGACAGTGACGGAAAATTTTCTTCGGTAAAGATTTCTACTCTCTCCCCCTTTCCTGCTCTCTAACCATGTTTTGTCGTCTGCTTTCATTTATCCATTCTGCCCCCTCCTCTGGGCTCCTGACTTTTTCTGCAGCCTTTCTTCAATCTCTACCACCACTCACTGGCTCATTGTTAGTGCTGTCTTGCAACCACACCCCTGATCTTGGGGCAGGTGAGATCTGACATCTAACCTTCTTGGATGGGGGCGAAAAATCTTGGAGGTCTTGTGTACATGTTGTACTTGTGAAAGATCCTTTGATAGACAGCAAAAGATCTTGTTAATATGTTAATGTTTTAGCGCCTAAAAATGGCTGCTTGCACTGTATGCTTCCCAGGAAGTTGAGGTTGTTTCAGAATGCTCACAGGTCTGCTGGGGTAATAGCGTAGATTGTGAAGCACATAGAGCTTACTGTTGAGTGAGGATTTGCGCTATACAAATGCTTTCTATTATTATTATTGTCCTTATCTCTTCTCCACTTAAACTGAAAACTAAAAGTGGGTTGTTGGTGGGTGCTCTAGTGTAGTTTGCTTCTTCTTTGCTATCAAGCGTCTATCGTCTTTTTCTCCCCTGCTTTTTTTTGTGTGTTTGTTACTCTCTTGTAACACCTCTAATCTTCGGCATTTATACGACCTTATTTTGTTTACAAGTGCCGTAGAACTCTTGCGAAAACTAAACTAAAACTAAAAACCAAAACCTGTCCCTTGTGTCGCCAGTGGAGATGCGCTCCTTCACGCAGCAGAACAGTCAGGGGGAGCTGAACTGGTCGTGGCTGACGGCCTTCCTCTTCCTGCTGCTCAACACCATGCTGGGGGAGGTTCTGGGCCTGACGCTAGGCTGGCGCGTCGGTCTGGCCGTCGGGCTGGGGCTGTTGCCCTTACAGTATGCCTTCATTGGTGAGTCTTTCAGGGAAGGAAAGCAGAGTGTGTGGTTTCGACATGCGACATTTCGCTTATACTGAAATACAATACAGTGGGTGGTTGGCGGGTGCTTTGGTGTGGTTTGCTTCTTCTTTCCTTTGAAACACCTATCTTCCTTATCTCCTCGTTTTCTTTTTTATGTATGTTACTCTTTTGTGACACCTCTAATCTTCTGGCGCTCATATGACCTTATGCAGTTGCGAGCGCTGTAAAACCTCTACTAGAATTAAACTAAACTAAATACAATAGACTAATTGCAAGCTTGTATAACATTTGGGGGGAGTTTCTTTATAATGTAATCAAAACATATGACTTAGAACCAAAGCAACTCAGACAAGCAGAATGGCAAGAGACAAAGTGTTTGCTTGCATAAAGGTCTGAAAAGCAACGTCCAATTTCTGTTCATTGTTTAGGGCCATTGGCCCACATAGCACAAAGCATGCACATTTTACAAAGGAAACTTCTGTGAAATAGCATGACACACATATCAGTAACATTTTAAAAATGTTTTGTCCTGTTAAACTAATTTTCCTTAATAAAACAGTAGACTGCCGTGTGCCCTTTTCTTGTTCATAGCAGTTTCCAGATGAAAAGGCATTTTGCTAGTGTAACCATCTAAAAAAGGTGTTATTCCAAAATATGAATCGTAATTATTCAAAAACTAGTCACATTTTGACTTTGATTAATTTCATACAAGTAGGGTAAGTGATAGGCAATTGATTTATCAAATTTAAAAATTTAGCACCAAAAATAAAGCGTTTAGTCAGCTTATGGCAGTATAGTCCAACTACTGGAGAAGCTAAGAAGAAGAAGAAGCAAAAGATCAATACCCCTCTGGTAGTATTGATTAAAACGTCTTCTATTGTTCCATGTGTCTGACAACACGGGTGGTGTGCGGATGCTCTGGTGTGGTTTGCTCCTTCTTTCCTGTCAAACATCTATCGCCCTTGTCTCTCTCCTTTTTGGTGTATGTTACCTCTCTTGTAACACATCTATCCTTCGGCACTTATATGACCTTATTGTGTTGCAAGTGCGGTAAAACTCTTTCTAAAACAACACGCTTTTGTTGCATTTTCCACCCACAGGCATCATCATCTTCTTCACGGTGAAGCACGACTTCTCTCTGACCAATCGCATCAGTGCGGCCCTGGCCAGGAAGCAGAAGTTACTGGCCCTGTTTATGCAGATGCTCTTCTGCGTTCCCAAACAGCGGCCTGTCTCTGACAAGCATTCCATGGCCTCCAGCTTCTCTGTCCGGTGAGGGAATGTTTTGTCAGACCAGAGTATAAAATAGTATTGTTGGCGTGTCGCTCTGTTTTTTTGTTGTTAAAATGTTGTAAGTGTGTTGTTGTGTTGTTTGTTGTTAAAGTGTTGTTGGTGTGTCGTTCTGTTGTTTGTTGTTTAAGTATTGTTGGTGTGTCATTCTTATAGTATTGTTGGTGTGTCATTCTTATAGTATTGTTGGTGTGTCGTTCTGTTGTTTGTTGTTTAAGTATTGTTGGTGTGTCATTCTTATAGTATTGTTGGTGTGTCATTCTTATAGTATTGTTGGTGTGTCGTTCTGTTATTCGTTGTTAAAGTGTTGTTGGTGTGTCGCTGTGTTGTTTGTTGTTAAAGTATTGTTGGTGTGTTGTTCCGTTGTTTGTTGGTGTTGGTATAGTATTGTTGATGTGTTGCTTTAGTGTCAATTATTAGATTATTGTTGCTGTATTGTGCTTATATTACTTGATAGAATATTGTTGGTGGATCTTACTTTTGTCTGTCTGTCATTAAAATAGTATTGGTGTCTTGCTCTAATGTTAGTTATTAGACTACTGCTGTGTTGTTGGTAGGTGCTCTGGTGTGGTTTATTTCTTTTTTTCCTATCAAAACCTACCATCCTTATTCCTCCTTCTTTTTGCGCGTTTTTTATTCTCTTGTAACACCTTTAATCTTCAGCACTTATATGACCTAGTTGTGTCGCAAATGCTGTCAAACTCTTCCTTAAACGAAACAAAAATCAATATGGCCTATCTGTGTTGCAAGAAAACTCTTACTGAACACGGCGTCACTTTTCGCCCGAATCTGTTACTTTTAGTTCGCGTGACTCAGCAGCCCGCCGGAGCTCCCCGGCTCGGGGTCACGGGGTTAATGAGCCCTGAGGCGACTTTGCCGGTGTCGGTTAGGAAGTTCGCATTTTTGACTATGTTTAAAACGATATAACTTCTTCCCCATCCCACATAGCAAACCATTACGCGGATGTACTAAAAGCTCAATGTCTAGAGATTTATTCTGCGTTAGAATGGTTAATTTCTGTGCCTTGGTTTTTGTTCTAGGCAAGTCTTTGTAGAGTACCCAATTTGTCCTATTCTAGTTACAAACTTATGAATAAATGATTGTTAATTTAAAAAAGGCACGGCAGATCTCTCCAAAATCTGTGTTAAACTGACTACGAATATCATGTCTTTTACCATGAGAAATCTTAAATCTGCGCTAGTAGAAATAGTCAAGTTATAAGAGAAGAAAGATGCACATCTGCATTTTTTAACTAAAGACGATCAGCGTTAGCTCTTATTTTACTATTAAACAAGAGAAAGTTACTCTGCGTTTGTTCATGAATCACGCTGTGTCTGTGGCAGCCTGCATACTACTAAAAAGATATAATATAGAATCTAAGCAATTAAAAAAAACACAAAACCGTGTAAATACATGGGTAGAGATAAACTTCTTGTATGGAATAAAAATAATGACAACATTCTTAGTTTTTGTGTCGGAAATATGCGCAGACACAATTATGGATGTAAAGAAATCAGTCACATTGTCAGTTATTGCAAATGGTCATAGAAACGAAAAATAAAGCAGGAAAAGTCTGGTGCTAATTCAGTGTCACTGGAAAGCTAGAAATTATTCTTATAACCCAATTACGTGAAGTCATCCCTATTATTCAGTCAACTTACAAAACCTAGACTTAGCGTTTTAAGAAAAGTAAGGAATTTCTGGAGTGTAACAGATACTGTTTGTGTATTAGATTTACATTGAAGATGTATTCTAGAACTAAAATCGATTTGTACTTTTCATAGAGAAACTTCAAGGTGACTTTTATCAACTTTCGAGAAAATATGTGAATATTCACGATTATATTAGACACATAAAGTTGAATTTGGAGGAATTACTTCATAGCGAATTGTGTGCCCGATGGATAAAGTTGCAAAATTACAGCTTTCTATTATAAGCGCAGATACCATCTTTTCTGAGTATCTGCACCAATGTTATGTCGTTCATGTCCCAAAAGTTCGACAGATTTTGACGATGCCTTTTTTTATATTGATTTTTTTCCATTCACGCTAGTCAAAAAAACCCAAACAATTTAGCATTGCCGACTCCAGCGCGTCTAACGAAATAACCAGACAAGTTAAAACGTCCGTTCTTTTTTGAGTCTCAAGAGCAGAAATGCATGCTTTGGGTGCACTAAATGAGAATTACCATAAATACAAGGATACCCCTTAAATTGTACGTTGAAAAGTACCAAAAATTAAGTCGGCCCAGACAGAGCGGCGACAGGGAGCTGACCCCCGTGTCCCCGACGTGATAAGGCGCCCGGCGGGGAACCCCCCGCGGCAACTAAAATTCCACTGCCGGTGCGCCGTGTGAAAGAAAAAAAAGCCCAATATGACCTGTTTGTGTTGCTGACGCTGTAAAACTCTTACTTACTAAATCTAAACTAAGCTTCTGTCTTCCAGGTTCTTGTTTTCCGACTGCACTCGCCTCACTAGCGTTGGCGGTGAGAAATCTCTGGCAGCCATGATAGGGACTCTGTGCGAGGCAGTGGAGAAGGAGTACGGAGTCTTCATTGCCAGGCTTTTCCGAGTGTTTAAACCTACTCCAGGGAGTAAGTGATCGGAAGGTGTCATAATTTCTTGTGTGTTGACAATGACAATCTATTTTCATCTCGCAGGGAGAAATTTGTCTTGTTCGTTTACAATGGCAGTAGATGTAACAAAAGTAAGGTGCACTCACGCATGCGCACAAATAAATATGACTTGAATGAATATGTCTCACGTGCTAAGACAACCCGCTCTCTCCCTCTCTCCCTCTCTCTCTCCCTCTCTCTCTGTCTCTCTGTCTCTCTGTCTCTCTCTGTCTCTCTCTCTCTCTCTCTATCTCTCTATCTCTCTCTCTCTCTCTCTCTCTCTCTCTCTTTGTTTCATTTGTAGCACTGTGGTTTCAGTAACCTCACTGCAGTTGGTATGAATGAATTTCTATATCTGTCTGTTCTTGGTTTTTTTTAAACGGGAAGATACATGTTTTTGAACATATCTATTTCAACTTCTTGCTTCCCTTCCCGTTTTTTTTTTTGTAGTTGAGAAAAGAGGCCGTCTGTCTCTCCCTCTGTCTCTCCCTCTCTCCCTCCCTCTGTCTCTTCCTCTGTCTCTCCCTCTAGGCTATTCCATAAAAAATGAAACTGCCATGACTCACATAATACAAGGGTAATGACCTTGGGATAAAATTTTATATGGTGATGGCACCGTTGTTGTTGTTTTTCCCTTCTTTGTTCTTTCAGCAGAGGAAAGTTGCTAGCAAAAGAAAAAAAGAAGAAAATAAAGCAAGGAATACATTAAAAGAAAAAAAAATAAATAAAGGATGGCCCTTTCACCGCATAGAAATTTTTTTCACTTGGTTATCACCTCCACATTACGTTAGTTGCTACAGTTTGATTGTTCATAGAATTACCTCCTCTCTCTGTTGCTGGTTGGATGGTGCTCTGATGTGGTTTGCTTCTTCTGTCCTATCAAACATCTATCGTCCTTATCTCCCCTTCTACTTTTTTATGTTTGTTACTCTCTTGTAACACCTCTAAATCTAATCTTCTGGCGCTCATTTGACCTTATGCAGTTGCGAGTGCCGTAAAACCTCTACTAAAACTAAACCTCTCCTCCTCCTTTCTTCGGGTTTGTTACTCCCCTTGTAACACCTCTAACCTTTGGCACTTATATGACCTTATTGTGTTGCAAGTGCCGTAAAACTCTTACGAAAAAAAAAAGAACATTTTTTTCACTCGGTCATCACCTCCACATTATGTATGTTAGTGGCTGCAGTTTGATTGTTCATGGAACTACCTCATCTCTCCCTCTCTCCCTTCCCAGAGTCGCGAAGCTCGAGGTTCAAAAGCATCTGCTGCGTGCCGTACTTCATCATCTTCCTGCTCCTGCTGATCTGCGTGCAGGTGGGCGTGGGGCTGGCTGTGGCATTCGGCATCAAGGAGAGCGTGGCGGTGGACGCGGTGCTCATCGCGCTGGTCAGCGTGGTGGGCCTGGCACTGGTCACAAACCTCTACACCTGGGGCCAGATGCTGGTCGCTCTCGTCTTCTCGCAGAAGAAGCGCGTGATCCGGGCGGCAGACAGCATCGACGAGCTCAAGATGGACGGCTTTATGCAGCAGTTGAAGACTGAGGTAATGAGTGTTGGCGGGTGCTCGGGTTTGGTTTGCTTCTTCTTTCCTATCAAACATCTATCGACCCCGCGGGGCGGTGCCACTGACTGAAGTGTCTTTAAGCCATTCCCAGAGGGGGGACATTTCTCGTTCTTATGCACAGTAGAATTGTAAATGAGCTGATTCAACAACATCATGCTCGACATATGTGCCTAAACTACAACAGGGAACAGCTGCTTTTTCTTTCCTTATCCTTACTACCGTCATTTTCCTCTACTTCTTTTTTTATGTTTGTCACACTCTTGTGACCCGCTATTGTGGCGTCGGTGGCCTAGTGGTTAGGCTCTCGGACTCGCAACCGTAAGGTCGTGGGTTCGAATACCGTCAGGGGCCCGACGTTGTGTCCTTGGGAAAGGCACTTTACATGAATTTTCCTCACTTCACCCAGGTGGGAATTGGTACCCGGCTATAGACAGTGAAAGATCTTGTCAGTTTGTTAGTGTTTGAGCGCTTAATCAGCTGCTTGCACTGTATGCTTCCCGGGAAGCTGAGAATGTTTCGGAGACTTCTATGGTCTGCTGGGGTAATAATATAGTGTAAAGCGCATAGAGCCTGCTGTTGAGCGGGGATATGCGCAATACAAATGCTATCTATTATTTCAGGGTGCCTTGATAGTTGAAACAGACTTTGTGCTGTTTAGGCTACAGAGGTCAGCGGAGTAAGCCTGATTCCTTGTTTAGACTTCCCTGTTGACATCCACCCATTGGCGCTCTTATGACCGTATGCAGTTGCGAGCGCTGTAAAACCTTACTAAAACAACATAATCTTCGGCTATTATATAACCCATTTGTGTTGCAAGTGCTGTAAAACACTTACTAAGACTAAACTATATAGACAACTTCTGGTCAGTGTTTCATGGTCTGTCTTTGACCTCCTCAGGTGGACCTGATGAGCCGTATGGTCAACTGTCTGGACAGCTTCACCCAGGACCAGACACGTCTGGTGGTCATTGTGGATGGACTCGACTCGTGCGAACAGGACAAGGTTTGTGGGAGAGAGAGGGAGAGAGAGAGAGAGAGAGAGAGAGAGAGAGAGAGAGAGAGAGAGAGAGAGAGAGGAGAGAGAGAGAGAGAGAGAGAGAGAGAGAGAGAGAGAGAGAGAGAGAGAGAGAGGAGAGAGAGAGAGAGAGAGAGAGAGAGAGAGAGAGAGAGAGAGAGAGAGAGAGAGATTAGTTTGTTTCTCTTTTCCTCTTACAAGAAATGGGATGATGGTTACTGAGATCAAAGAATTGTAGTTCTTAAGCTGCATTGGTTGTTAGGACGACTAGTTTGAAAGTGTTGGTCACTTAGGAAAGTTGAGCGAAAAAGATAATTATAGTAATAATAATAATAACAATAATTACTGTAGTAATAAAAAGGTAATGGTACTAATAATTATAATAATTATAATAATAATAATGATAATAATAATAATAATAACAATGATACTAATGATGATAATGACAACGATACTAATGATGATAATGACAACGATACAGATAATATGTATCATGTCGACTCCTGTACACTATTGCTTAAGGCGCTTTCAATATTTTTATCTAAACGCAAAATACATGTGCATGAATGTGCACACAAAATCTCATTAGATTAACACTAACAAATAAGCAAACATTCGTACTATCACAAAACAATCAATGATGATGTGCACGCCATATTGTAAACATAAGAGTACTGTTCTTAAGAAGGACTGAATTATGTGAATTTTATCTTCACAGCCTTTTCGAAAGTATTCTGGTTAGCTTAATCTACTGTCTTTATCACTACTTCTTTTCATTGAATGTTACTCTTAAGTAACACCTCTAATCTTCAGCAATTACATAACTTATTTGGGCTGCAAATGCTGTGAAACTCTTACGTAAACGGAAACTAAATGTGAGGTGCCATAGTGAAGTCAGGTGCTCGTCAAAATAAGGAAATGAAAGAAACCAATGTGTTTTTTGCAGGCTAAGCAATTTTTGTCTATTTTTTTGTTTTTTGGCCTAGCACCCTTTATGTCCATTTAAGAACACATGTCTGAAAAATATTGATCAAAGGCACAAAAAATGCAAATTTTCATTTCCAAGACTCTCAAGCTATGGAAATCACCAAACTTTGGCAGCGTCCTTGAATTGCAAACATCTCAACTTCTATTTAAGATAAATCTTCATTTTTTACACAAAAGGCAACACAAGCAAACAAGCTTTAAGATGATACCAATTACTTAATTTGTCAAAAAATTGACGAGTGTCTGATCTCAGAGGCGTGTCCTTAGGAAAAGTGTAACGAATGTAGATCTAGATCTAGATAATCTGTAGGCACTAACCTGTTAAGTCTCTTGATGAGGTGTACTCAGAATGTGTGGTTCATGGCGTGACAGCTCAGGGGGAAGTGAAGTCTCCCTCCTAAGTTAGGTACAGCTTCCGGGTCAGCTCCAGTAATCAGTAGTGGTGTGCATTGGCGTATTTCTTATTCAATAATTACATTATAACTTGACAAAAAGCCATTTACACAAATTTTCCTCTCTTCACCCAGATGGGAATGAGTACTTGGCCATAGACAGCGAATGATCTTGTCAGTATGTTATTGTTAGTGCTTTTGTGCCTATAAATGGCCGGTTGCACTGTATGCTTCTCAGGAAGTTAGGGTTGTTTCAGAATGCTCTCAGGTCTGCTGGGGTAATAGTATAGATTGTGAAGCGCGTAGAGCTTGCTGTTGAGTGGGGATTTGCGCTGTACAAATGCTATCTATTATTATTATTATTATTATTATTATGATTATTATTATTATTATTATTATTGTTATTATTATGACACAAATAGAGATGGGTTTTTCTGTTTCTTTTCATCTCCAGGTGCTCCAAGTTCTGGACACTGTCAAGTCTCTGTTCTCAGATGAGGGAGCTCCCTTCATCACCATCTTGGCTGTAGATCCTCACATCATCATCAAAGGTACGCCGTGCCATCATTATCATTGTCATCATCTCCATCATTATCATATTCTTCATTATCACCATTGTCATTACCATCATCGTCATCATCATTATCATCCGCATCAACAGGCGTAGCAGCTGCAGCAGCAGCAACAGCATTATCTTCGTCATCATCATCGTCAGCATCACCATCATCATCAGCGTTGTAAATAGCAAGGAATAAAAAAGTGTTGAGACTTGTAGAATTTTCAAATATTTTACAGGTTCAATGTTTCGCCCGAAAAATCATCATCACCATCATCATCATCATCACCATTGTAGTAAGAAAAAGAAAATTGGTGGAGACTTGGGTATTTGGAATTTGTTGACATTCAAAAATATGTTCAATATTTTTCCCTTTTGGGCTTCTTCAAGAATGGGATCTTTAAAAACAACCACTTCCCACTCCCCCCCTCCCCCCCCCCCCTCCCCCTTGTGTTTCTAAAAATAATAATATAATAATGTTCAAGACATTCACCTGTCTGAGATAACCGGTTTTCTCTTCGACAATTTTGGCTGTGTTGTACAATTTCGATTGTATATGATTTGAGTTAGTACTAAATTGATCCTTTTAACTCCTTGTCTTCGACAAGCCGCTCCCAGGGGCTCGTGGTTGGGATGTCTTTGCCGGTGAGCCGCTGGCACCGGCTTGGACACATTCCTTTACAATGACTTGGACGTCAACTTACTTTTTGGAAATTGCTGAAAACAGGTCTCTTTTACTGGGAGTTCGTTCATTAGATGAAGAACTGAAAAAACAGGTTCACTTGTTTTGAATAAATGACCAGTTTAGTGATGTATATGTCAGTTTTTACAATTCGTACCTAAAAAGAGAGGGTACGGTGGATTAACGGTTAGTGTGCTTGTCTCCGAAGCGGAAAGTCTGGGTTTGAGCCTCGGTTCGGATTTTTTTTACCCCGTCGTGCTCACCCTGCAGTAATGGGTACCTGACTTCGAGTTAGGGAAGTAAACGCAGCGTGGAAAGGAACTGGCCTCCTTACCACAATATGCAGAAGGCCCAGAAAGTTGTTTCACTAACAAGGCAATCCCCAATGACCGGATCGGATGCGGGAACAACTTATCTTTACCTAAAAAGAGCCCTGGCATAGTGGGTTTACACCCGTCTCAGAGGTATAGAGTTAATATCCTTTGTTTTGTCCTTGTTTGTTTGCAGGCATTGAGCAAAATCTGCGCAGCTCTTTCCAGGACAGCAACGTGAACGGCTTTGACTACCTCCGCAACGTGGTACACCTGCCCTTCTACCTACAGTCCCAGGGCATGCGCATCCAGCAGGTGGAGCCGGTGCCCAGCCACCAGGGGGCAGGCGAGTCTCCCTCCAAGGCCACTCGGGTACGCACCACAGCTTTCTGCTCTTCTTCTCTTTCCTTAATGCACTTTTATTACTTTAAAAAAAAACTTTTTCATCTTCTGTGGTTATCAAATGTTCAGGGGAGATGCAGTTTTTTTTATCGTAGGCCAACTTTGTAGGTCTTTAACACTTTCCACCCATGCAGTGCCCACAACCTCTGTCCCCACATACAGGGTGCAGATTGGGTACATCAGTACTGTACATGGATCTTGACAAAAATACCCGCATCAATATGAAATTTTCCGCACATTGACTATATTGAACATGACAATTGCATGTTCACCAAAATAGGAATTAGAACCGGAGCTAAAACCATTAGATCTAGCACATTCATCACCCGAATCCTCGTCATGGCGTCAATGTAAAGTAGGAGCGGGCACGAGAAGTGCCGAGTACCCGTTTCTTGCGAGAACGGCCCTCCCCATCTCTGCCCACCCACAAAACTGCTGGCCGAAACCGAGAGGTGATACTGTTCGTTGGCTTGACGTAACAAATTATGAGAGTGAGAGGCGTCAACGGAAAGAGCAGCACAGCCAGTGAGAACTGACACGCAGACAGTGCCACTCACCACCGTGCCACCCTGTGTCTGAAACTGAAAGGGGGGGGAGAGGGTGGCGAGATTAAGCGAGGTGAGGCTAGGCGAGTGGGGGGTTGATCAGTGCTTAGGCCTAGGGCTTCACCTACCTTCCTTCACCACCTGCGCCTGCCCAACAGGGCTAGATCTAGCCTAGTTGGGATCCCGACCACGGCCGGCCCTCTCGCTCAGCAGGCTGCTCGTCCAACGGCGGGAGAAGAGAATTTGGTCACGAGACGGCCAGCACTTCTCAGGACCGTTACTGGTCTCGGGGAGAAATAGGTCAGCTTCCTGGCCTGCTCGCTCAGGAAGAAAAAGTGCTTCCTGCTGCCCGTCTCTAGTGTAAAGCAGCACTCATGCTTGGTCTACTCGACCTCCCCCCCCCCCCCCAAAAAAAAATAATTTAAAAAAAAAAAATAATTTAAAAAAAAAAAATCGCTCCAATTGTAAACAAACTGATTTTTGCACTCAGAGGCCACACAAACCAAAGCATTCAGAAAGAAAATTGTAACTTTAATAAGTGCGCCTGTCTAAAACGATTTTTTTGGCCATATGACACTTTCACCTATCGGCGTCCTGTGGGGGCAAAATGTTCCAGACTTTTATTACTTTTTTACAACACTTTTTCCTCCTCTTTGGCCATTAAGTGTCAAAGGGAAATGCAGTTTTCTATGGCTGGCCAACTCTGCCGCTCTTAACATTGAGATGTTATAGTTTCTCTTTGATGGACTTGTGAATAATTTTCCTGTTTGTCTACATGGTAAGTTTTTATATATATTTTTAAAAAAACTGTTTATTTGTTTGTTTTGAAGTGTGATGCTTCTCTAGGTGGGGAAGAAAGAAATTGTTTATTTGTTTGTTTTGAAATGTGATGCTTCTCTAGGTGGGGAAGAAAGAAATGGTTTATTTGTTTGTTTTGAAGTGTGATGCTTCTCTAGGTGGGGAAGAAAGAAATGGTTTATTTGTTTGTTTTGAAGTGTGATGCTTCTCTAGGTGGGGAAGAAAGTGTTAAACTCTATTGAGATATTATTGGAGTCTTCCCTTCCCTGTTTGTTTTTTGATACACTCGGCATCTTCTTGGAAGCTGCGTCTTTCAAACTTGAGACTATATTTCTTTACTTTAACTTTCTGTAGGTGGTTTGAGGGTTCCTACTTCTTTTCTTTCTCTCTGTTGTTTCTGTCAGTCTCTCTCTCACTTCAGAAAGTGGTGTTTATCATTCCAATGTGCTGGGCATTGCTACAATTCGATTACTTGGGAAAGGAAAGTCATACAAGTCAAGAATCTTGGTTCTTTCATATCCTTTTTATTCTGCTAATACAGTTAAACCTCTTCTAATGACCACCTGTCCAAGAAAATCACCTGTACAAACAACCAGTTCTCTCTTCTCCCTTGCACTTAATTTATTTTTAAAATTCTTCTATCTTATGCAGTTGCGAGCGCCGTAAAACCCCAAACTACTCTAAACTAATTTCTTCTATCATCTTGGTTCACACCAGCTTACTGTCAGTTTTACCTGGTTTCTGCAGGTGGGTGGTTGGCGGGCGGTCTGGTGTGGTTTACTCTTTCTTTCCTATCAAATGCCTGCTTTTCTTATCTTTCCTCCTTTTCGTTGCTCTCTTGTAACATCTCTATTCTTCAGCGCTCATTCGACCTATTTGTGTTGCAAGTGCTGTAAAACTCTTACTAAAATTAACAATGGTTTTTGCAGCAAGACTCCACGCTGACCAACGCCAGTGAGACTCGCGTGGGTCTGCGGAAGGCGTCCCGCAACCTGAGCACTTCGGTGGCAGGGGGCAGTTTGTCGGATTCGGTCCCGGGCACGATCTATGCCAGCTCCTACGACCTGACCTCGTCTGCGGCCAAAAACGACTACTTTAGCGACATTAACCCGCGCAGCATGAGGCGGTTGATGAACATTGTTGCTGTGACCGGTATGTTCATGTGGCTCTGGCATTTGTCTACAGTTTACATTGTTGTTGTTGTTGTTTTTGCTGTTTAGAGTCTTAAAGGCAGTATTCTATTTTGAGCTGTCTTCAGGGATCTTCATCCTCATCATCGTCATCATCACCACCCTCATTATCTTCATTGTTGTCATCGTCTTTTTTGTGGTGATTGCCATCAACATCATCATCATCATCACTTCATCATCACCACTTCATCATCACCACTTCAGTGATTGCCCATTTGTGAGGCAGCGTGGTGAAATCAGGCGCTCGTCAAAATAATGAAATCGGAGAAACAGGCCTTTTTCTACCAGTTTGGCAGTTTTATTAGATTTTGTTTTTTGGTTCATTACCTTTTATGTTCCTATAAAAACAAGTTTCCATGTGAATTTTACTGAAAAACGTTGATTAAAAGCACAAAAATGTCAATTTTCAGTTTCCAAGGACTTTCAAACTATTAAAATTACCAAACTTTGGCAGCCATTTTCTCGCTAATTTCACCTCTAAAATCCAGGCGACCCTGGCCTCCTTCAGGCGCACATATTTCGCCTTCTATTCAACATAGATGGATGTGTTTTTCACCAAAAGTAAGGCAAATGAATAAGCTTGAAGATGATACCAAGAACCCCATATGCCCCAAAATTGACGAGCGCCTGATTCCACCATGTTGTACCACATTTCATCTAAGCCATCTCGGAACGCTTCCAGCAAATGATGTTTTGCTTTTGGCTTTTGTGACTTATATATTATATACACATTTTCCAATAACTTTAATATAGGCCACTGCCTTTTTTGTGTACCCTTTTGCAATCAATTTCTTGAGACCAAGATCTGACACCCGCTCCCTCCCTGAACCCCCCCCCCCCAAAAAAAAAACAAAAAACAAAAGACAAAAACAAAAGCTAACCCCCCCCCAAAAAATCCCCCACAAAAAAACCACCCAAAAAACCTAGGCCAAAGTACGTTAAACAACGACAAAAAAATAAAATCAATATTGGATTATAATTCTATTCTCTCCTCCCACCTCCTGTGCTCCGGACCTCCACTCCCACACCCCTCCTCCGTGGGTGGTTGACAGGTGCTCTGGTGTGGTTTGCTCCTTCTTTCCTATCAAAAGACTATCGTCTTTATCTCCCCTCCTTCTTTTTTATGATTGTTACTCTCCTGTAACATAAATAATAATACTAGATAGCATTTGCATAGCGCATATCCCCGCTCAACAGCAGGCTCTATGCGCTTTACACTATATTACTACATTTCTAATCTTTGGCACTTATATGACCTTATTGTGTTGCAAGTGCTGTAAAACTCCTACCAAAATTTAAAAAAGATCTGACACCCCCCTCCCTCCCTGAAAACAAACCCCCCCCCCAAAAAAAAACCCAACAACAAACAAACAACAAAAACGAAAGCTAAAAACCCCCCAAAAACCTAGCCAGATGGACATTAAACAAAAACAAAAAAATTAAAATCAATATCTAATTATAATTTTCTTCTCTCCTCCGGTCCTCCCCCCCTTACACCCCTCCTCCCCTCCCCACAGCGCGTCTGTTGAGGGCGTACAACATTGACTTCAAGTGGCACCGACTTGCGGCCTGGATCAACCTGACGGAGCAGTGGCCTTACAGACTGTCCTGGATCATTTACCACTTCGAAGAGGCCGAAGTGATGGAGAACTCTGCCTCTCTGTATTCCTTGTACAAACGGTCTGTAGTATAATATTTATTATTGTTATTATTATTTTTTTTTTTTTCTATATCATTATCATTATTATTATTAGTAGTACTATTCTTACTGTTGTTGTTGTTGTTGTTGCTGTTGTTGTTGTTGTTATTGTTGCTGTTGTTATCGTCGTCGTCATCCTCCTCCTCCTCCTCCTCCTCTTCTTCTTTTTCTTCTTGCCTTGTTAGTGAGACAATTTCCCGGGCCTTCGGCATATTGTGGAGGGTGGCCAGTTCCTTTCCACATCGCCTGTACCTCCCCAACTTGAAGTCAGGTACCCATTACTGATGAACTCCGTGTCTGAACCGAGGCTCGAACCCAGACTTTCCACTTCGGAGACGAGCACACTGACCTCCCCGCCACTGCACCCTCACAAGAAAGTCACAAACACAAATAAGGAGGAGAGATAAGAATGATAAATGTTTTTTTGTTCGTTTGTTTTTGTAAAGTGCTTTACCGCGCTCGCAACTGCATAAGGTCATATGAGCGCGCGGGACACACCTAATATTTTCAGTTGGTAGGTACTTTTGAATTTTGCCCAGGTGGCGGCTGAAGCCTACTCTTATCGATTTTAGACCACCAAGGGATCTTTAGCGTGCGCAACTTGCACACGGGTCCTCCGAGATTTTTCGCCCTTGTCCGAGAAGGCTATGTGTAGATCTTTCCTACCAGAAGATCAGGGGTGAGGCTGAAAGACAGCTGTAAGGAGGAGCCAGGGAGTAGCAGTAGAAAGGCTGCAGAAAGAATCAGGAGCCCAGAGGAAGGGGCAAAGGAGGTGAGGGGGTGGGGACAGAAGGAGGAGACGAAAGCAGACGACAGAACTTTGCTAGAGAGCAGGAAATGAGGTGAAAGGAGACAAATTTAGAGAAGAAAATTTTTCTGTCGCTACCCAGATTCGAACCTGGGACCTTTTGAATGAGAGGCCAACACCATAACCTCTAAGCCACGAGAGTCCCCTGATAAATGTTTGACAGTTAAGAAGGAGCATACCATACCAAAGCACCCGCCAACCACCCACCAAACGGTCTGTAGTTGATTCTTGTGCTTTCCTGCTCCTGTGATTATGGGGGTGGTCGGTGGGCTAGAAATTTGACTCTTACAAGTCATAAGCTTATTATCTGCTTTGATGCAACAAGTGTGATGTGAAATTAATATGTAATCATTAACATTTTCAGTAGTTTAAATAGCTATGAACTTGTATTACCAACTAATTTGTTTTTAAAAGAAAAATTTGGTATATTCTGAAGAAACATTTGTAGAACAGACAAGCAGATATTTGTGATGGATGAGGAAAACAAGAAAAAACAATTGTGCATTATGTATCTATTCAGTTGATGTGTCGACCTCTGAGATTTAAAGCCCTCGGCTTTGCCCTACATCACAGCTGCCACTGAGTAGTTAAGATCTCAACAGCTTTTTCTTCTCTTTTTTTTCCCCCCCCAGTATCGTTCCAAGCATTCCTGCCACCAAAGAGCAGGATCCTCTTCTAGAGATTGACAGAAATGTTCGTAAATTGGAGGCTAGCCTCACCTCAAAATCTGGGAACTTCCCTCTTCTCAGCGTGGCCGACTTGAAGAAGTTTTTGCCCTGTACCATCAACCTTGACCCCTACCTAAGAAAACTTATCCGAGGTACGTATGACATTTGGAACATTCTTGGAGGTATGTTATGATGTTCGGAACATTCTTGAAGCTGTCCGTTGTAACAAATGTCGGAACTTACATGCTTCTCTCGAGCTCTCTGCGACCACCATTTCCAACCAAGATTGGTGTTACTGGCAGTGTCACAGAGGGAGGGAGGGAGGGGGGGAGG